CAGATTCAGGACTGAAAGTATCTCCACGGCTCTAATTTCCCGTCTATTTACTGACCACTGACAACTGGCCTTTAACTCACTGCACTACTGGGCCAGAACTTTATAGCCAACTGACGCTGTTTCAAGCTGTGCCCATTGCTTTAATTGTTATAATGTTTTATCGTGTTTTAAACTGAAATTGTATTTATTATAATGATGTTACTCGCCCTGAGCCTGTCCATGGGATGGGCGGGATAAAAATGCAAAGAATGAATGAATGAATGCAGGAATGAATCAATTAATTAAATTTTGTGTAAAGATACCAAGCAGATACAGCTTCTCCTTGATGTTCCTCCCCAGCTACTCAAATGTGGAGAAAAGGAAGTTAGTAGTCCCCCACTTACATGCCAAGATAATTGGAGATGGGATAGGGTATGTTCTTAGCAAAACTGGAGCATGTAGATCAGGGTGCAAAACCCAGATCCATCCTTGCATCTTACTGCAGTGCCTGAGGCTGATTCTGCATTGGCTTTTCCTTCTGTTGTTTTCTCCCAGCTAGCCTCCAATGCAGGAAGTCAAGTGGAGAGAAAATGCTGAAAAGAAATTAATCACAGTAAAGTAAGGTGAAATGGGGCAAGGTTTAGGTCCCCTCATCCATGTGCCCCATTTTGAGGATCTTTGAGAAAGAGAGAAAAGCTCACTCCCACACGAATTGATGTCTCCCTGTATCTGCCTGCAGATGACATTGTAATTGCCTCTAGAACAGGGATACTTTCTCCTGTCTGCCTGAAGTTTGGGTGAGGGCTGCAGTGCCTGAAAATTTCATCAGAAGGGGTGTGGATGTTTTGTCTGGAAATACGGCGCCCAGGGAAACTGACTATCAAATTGATTTCCTAATAATCTTGCCTTAATCCTTATGTTGAAGAATCCAACTTCTGAACCTGACTTTCTTTTTTGCGCCCCCCTTGAGAACAGTCAATGCTTTTAATATGAGCTGTTTCTTGAAGAAATATTTGTATTACAAACTTAACCCGCATTCTCTCCTATTTTTCCCCTCTTCCAGTTTCTATCTATTTATTTGCAACTTTGGAGACAATCCAGTACAGTCATTCCAACAGCCTCAGGACAAGCGTGGATTAACAAGTTTCAGAAAATAAAACAAAAAAAGTGAAAGAAAAAGAAATAAATAGGAACGACATTCGGCAATTTGACTGCTCTTTGTCTAAAGCCACCTTGGAATGCTTCTCCAGTCATATCACTGCTGATCTCGGATCGTAATCATGATAAACAAATCTCCAATCATATCCACCTGAAAGATTCAAAAGTAAGTTATCCCAAAGGAACAAACCTTTAACTTGGGATCAAAGCCATAATGGGAAAAGAGCACAGCCTTCTGCCTTCATTGGCTTGGTCCCCTGATACCTGCAATGGCTTTCGTAACTTTCTGGGTTCAGGTGTTTTGAGTTGCTAGAAGGTAAAGACAAGTAGTGGCAAGTCATATGGTGTTTACACAGTTTAGCTTTTTTGTACAACACACACACACACATATACCAAGGACCTCAGGACAACACACAGCTCATTTTATCCTCACAACAACCCAGGCAGGTAGGATAGACCAAAAAGAGCACTCTCCGATCATTCTGAGCGCAGTTTTTCGTGGGGATGTCTGAACAGACCGTGGTTCGGCTCACAGTCCTGAGCTATTTTTTCATCAAACATTCTGGCTCCTGAAATGAAACTCCTTCGCTGCAGCCACCACACAGCTGTAAAGCTGTTTGACAGTCATTCCAGGTGGACAGTGGATAAGTGAACAGAACCGAGATTTGGTTCAAGGGCGACCATGGCTGTTGAACATGATATGTTGGCCTATCAAACCTGTTCGCCATGGAGTCTGCGGCATCCCTAGTTTCCAGTCCAATTATGTTGAGCCTCAAAGTAATCATCTGAACCCAAATCCCTCCTATAAATGACTTCCTTAGAAGTGAAGTGAGGCTGAATCCATCCTTCCCCTGTGAATTTTATTTATAATAACATTTATTAGTTGCCTTTTCCCCTCGCAGAACTCAAGACAGCTTAAGTTTGAATCCACCATGGGGAGAAAGAAGAGCACAAATCATGAATTATTTTTCACAGAAGAGTAATTCTTACACAGCAGCATCAATTTAAATGAATGAGATCTCCTGCCAATGAGATCAGAGACAGGCAAACTCGGTCTGACAGTCATCACTAATCTTATTTAAAATTGTGATTTCTTGAAATTTTAGTTTCTCACCTTTCATCTGAGTGACAACTAGGGTTGCCAATCTCTAGGCCAGGGCTGTAGCAGGATTTTTGATTTCAGGAGGGGGGGGCGTTTAAATAAGTTTGGGGGACACTGTGTCAGGAGCAACGAGAGAGTAAATGTTTTTAAAAAGCAATAAGAGGCCCTGGTCACACGGGCCGGAAAATATGGGGGGGGGAGCGTGGCTGTTTGCCCCGGAGCAAACTAATACGCAGCCGCCAGATCACACATCCCGCTGACGTCTCGTGGTTCGGGGGGAGGTGCCAATCACACGACAATCCTGCAGTGCGGCAAAGAAGCGGCGCGGCGTGATCATACCAGCAATGGCTAGGCGCCGCTGCCGTGGCAAACAGGGTTGTGGTTTTTTAAAAACCGAAGTGTGCGCATGCGCCGTTGGGTGCTTGTGCGCATCCCGTGGAGATTTGGGGGAAAAAAACCCTTTTTGTGACAGGACATGGGCGGGCGCCGGATGCCACGAACTACCACTGGAAACGCGATCAGACGCCCGCCCTTGCCCCGCGGTTTCCGGAAACGAGTACCTCGGAGGTACTAGTTTTTTACGCCGCATCTTCGGCGGTTTAGCCACGGGAGCTCTATGCTTCCCAGATGTTGCGGTGTGATCACGCCTGGAAAATCCGCCTATCTTCCGTCTCTGTAGCGTGGCTAATGCTCCGTGTGACCGCAGCCAGAGTGAGGGCGAGGGCTGGAGTAGCTGTGGTGTGTGCAAAAAATAAAATAAAATAAACCAACTGGATGGGAAGTCAGGAGGCCTGGGCAGTAAGTTGGGGGGCCCAGCCCCGAGATTCCCCACTGTAGCTATGGGCCCGCTCTAGATGGTGGCTAGAAATCTCCTGGAATTACAACTGGTCTTGGGGTAAAACAGATCAGTTCCCCTGGAGAAAGTGGCTACTTTGGATGTTGGGCTCTACAGCATGATATTCCAATTTGGTCTCTCCCCTCCCCAAACTTTGCCCTCCCCAGACTCCACATCCCAAATCTCAGGGTTGCTAGATCCAGGTTGGGAAACTCCTGGAGATTTGGGGATGGAGCTTGGGGAGGACAGAGACCTCAGTGAGGTACAATGCCATAGACTTAGGGTTGCCAGGCCCTTCTTAGTCCCTGGCAGGGGACTTTGAGGGGCATTACTGGAGGGGGTGGGGATGTCCCCAATGTGATGATGTCACACAAAAGTGACATCTTGTTGGGGACGAGCACCCCCACACACACCTGTACTCCAAGCAGCAGATTTGCCCCTGCTTCTTGCCCAAAGCATTTAAAGGATTCCATATGGTCACCTTCAAGTTTTTGGCTGAATGCTAGAGCCAGACAGAATGTGTATCGGGCATGTTGGGTGCCGTGGAGGAACCCCCACCCCCATCGGGGGGAAGGTATCCCTAAACCCTACCCCACAACAGTTCCAAAAAGGAGGGGGTGGGGAAAGTGAATTAATATTTTTTAAATTTAGAGGCTCCTCATAATTTGAGGCTGTAAACTGTACTTTACTTAGCTTGTGCATAAATCCAGCTCCATATTAATTTGATCAGCATGCTGAAAAGGACCCCTTTCAGTAAAGAATATGGCAGTTTTGCAGATACACAATGCAATCAAGATGGAGGCGGAAAGGCAAAAATGATGAGAAAGGAGTTCTTTCATGTGCTGGTGTTTTGGATTTTAGTTGCTCCAGAAGCAAAATACTGTGACCCCTAGTTAAGATCTAGCCTAGGTTTTAAAAATATTGAGTTCACCTCCCCCAGCCAATTGCTTTCTAGAATCTGTCCAATCAGATGGGTGTTGCCCAGGTGCATGATTTCTAGATCTTAGCTGCAAATACGTGCAATAAAAAAAGATCGTAATTCACTAAAGGTGAATGGGGCAGAGAAGCAAAAGGGCTACTCTCCCTTTGAGAATACAAAGCCAGTTAATCAGATGTCTGCTCAGCACTAATTGGAACATACAGCTCTTCTTGTAAGGCACAGAGGAGAAGGAAAACATGATATTAACGGAACTGTAGATTAATTTTGGGAGGCGCAATAGATGATATGCCAGTGCAAGCGAAACTACAGGGCATTGCTTTGTGCTTGCAGGGTCTTTATAGTAGCCCCTGGTAAATCTTGAAATATGTTTTGCATGTAATCCAATTAAGTCTGCAATACAGCCTGCATTTCCTTTTAAACTGTGGATGTTTCTGTCAGACTCTGAAAGATATTTCTCTTTTCTCTCTCTGCCCCAACTACCTTCCAAAGCGGCCATTTTTACTCGGTGAACTGATCTTTGTCACCTGGAGATCAGTGATATTCCCAGGAGATCTCCAGCCACCACCTGTAGGCTGGCAACCACAGGACCCTTAGCCAGCAAAACTCATTATTATTATTATTGCACATTTGGGAGCAGGCCTAACTAGCTAAACAAAGGTAGAAACCAAGTGTTTTATCCCTTCTTTACAACAAAATGAAAGCATGTAAAATTATATGTTTCTAGCAAATTATTGGGCTGGGGAAGAAAATTGTGTGGGAAGGGACAATATTCATATATTTTAAACTATCAGGAGAACGTTTCCTGTCCTTTCTGTATTTTGCAGGTGCGATGCTCTTCTTCCTTTCTTGACTGCTGTGCAGCGGAGAAGTACTTTACATACATCCCCTGGGAACTCACCTGCTCTTTCACAGGCTGCTGAATAATAAACATGCAAGAGCCTTCATAAAAGCCTCCTGTCTTTTTTTCTGAAACAGCAGTGATTAAAATGGCCCACACAAAGTTGCGGGTGCTCCTAGTATTATTTGTGTGCGCTCTGCAGTGCTTAGTGGCTAAAGGTGATGACGACGAACAACCTGAAGGGGAAGAAGAATGCAGGTTGCTAGGGAAATTTGATTTACGGGGCTATGTGGAAGCTGAAAACGCTGATCATGTTATCGGAGGGATGTTCCCAATGCACTTCAGGACCATCCTGGAAGAAGACCCCACTAGTACGCCACCCATGTCACCACAGTGTGAGGGGTAAGATATTTTTCCTCTTACATCATCGGTGCTCGGGAGATAATTGTGGTGAGCATAGGTGGGTGGGTGCATGTTATTAACAGGAAATGATGTCGCTGGGACAAAATGGGCAAAGAATGTTTTCCCAGGGTTGCAGCCTGCAAGAGAATTTAAAGCGGGACAACACAAGCATCCTTTTTTTGTGTGTGTGGAGTACACAGCATTCTTACCTCTGCTTTGGAAAGTTTTGGAAGCTCTCCAAACCCTGAGAAAAGATCAACAGCAGGAGTGGTATGTGCACCATTCGTAGCGATATCTCTTTTACACCTGTCTTCATTCTCTAGAACAATTTTTCCCACTGCTTGCAGTTTTAGAATTGCTGAGGAGTTTTCAGGTAAACCATGTTATCAGTGTAAACAGCACCGGCTGTCCTTACTTTCCAAAGACACTCCCAGTTTCCTGATGTCAGTCCCTGCTAAATCACTCTGTTTCATTCCAGTTCTTGCCTTTTGCTAACATTTTAATAGTGGGAGATGCAGTGCTAGAGTTGTCATTGTTTAGAGTTCAGTCTCCCCTCCCAGTTAATTGTCCATCTGAACTGCAGATACATTATGTCTCCAGTGTCCCTTGATGTCAATTCATGCATATAAGCAATGAAACCAAAATTATAGATTTATTTCTTTTATTCACTTTATTTATACCCCACCTTTCTCCACCTTTCTGCACAGTGGGGACCCATAGCAGGTTGCATCATTTTTCTCTTCTCCATTTGATCTTTACAATAACCCTGTGAGCTAAAGTTCCACTGAGAGTTTTTTACTGGCAGAGGTGGGATTCAAACCCTATGAGATTCAAGCCCTGTGAGGAAAGGCTGAGGGACTTGGGAATGTTCGGTCTAGAGAAGAGGAAGTGGAGGGGGGACATGATTGCTCTCTTAAATCTTTGAAGGGCTGTCACTTAGTGCAGGGCAGGGAGCGGTTCCTGTTGGCAGCAGTAGAGGATAGGACTCACAAGAATGGGTTTAAATTAAGAGCAGGAAGGTACCGGCTGGATATTAGGAAAAACGTTTTTACAGTAAGAGCTGCGCAACAGTGGAATCAGCTACCTAGGGAGGTGGTGAGCTCCCCCACACTGGGACAGTCTTTAAGCAGCGGCTGGACAGACACTTGTCAAGGATGCTCTAGGCTGATCCTGCATTGAGCAGGGGGTTAGACTAGGTGGCCTGTATGGCCCCTCCCAACTCTGTGATTCTATGATTCTATGAAAGTAGGGTCTCCCGGATCCCAGGGTGATACTCTAACCACCATATCTTGGGTAGTAAAGTACCTGGGGGGTTAAATGGTAATGCATGACCAATTCTGCATAACTACTGTTTTAGAAACTTGGTACAAACACAGGCACATCTGAAGAAGTCAGTGAATGCTTATGCTGAAATATTAAAAAAGTCTTCAAGGGTCTCCAAGACTCCTGTATATTTTAACATCAAAATGACACTCATGCATTTAAAAGTGTCTTTCTGTTCTTTCACATGTGCTCGCCAGTATGGGGGGAGGTCTGGAAAGCATTTTAAATGGCATGCATGAATTCACCTAAGGCAACACACAGAGCACAGTCTCCCATTTTACTACTACCACTACCACTACTACCACTACTACCACTACTACTACTACTACTACTACTACTACTACTACTACTACTACTACTACTTCTGAATTGCCCTATTCCTAAGTACACAGGGCTCTGGGAGATTTACAACAGGTTAAAACATCCAAAAATACAGATTAAAATCAGCAGTCAATTTATCTTAATTACACAATCTCCAGATGGCGTCTATAGTTACTCTGAACTGCTCTTCCGTATCATGGGCATGTTATGGAGGAGGCCAAAGTGGGCAGGGTAGGAGTAAAAGGGGAGGGTGCCAGCTATGATGAAAACCGTTGCTGTCCTCAACTATTTATTTAGTATATTTCTTACCTCACTACTGCTGAGGGAGATTTTAATTGTTAAGGCAATGATTTTTTTACCCCCGGTATAAAGAGAATAAACATTGTCTTGGCTTTTATATAAGTGAAAGAGATGCTCATGCAGAGTAAATTAATGCAACATAAGGCAGATGGGGTTAGAGGGCTATATACAGCTGACAACCTCCAGGTGGTAGCCAGAGATCTCCTAGAATTACAGTTGATCACCAGGTGACAGAGATCAGTTTCCCAGGGAAAATGGCTGCTTTGGAAGGTAGGGTCTAAGACATTATACCCTGCTGAGGCTCCTCCCCTCCCTAAACCCTATCCTCCCAAGGCTCCAAATCTCCAGGAATTTCCCAACCGTCGACCTTCAACAATACAGGGTGACAGAAACAATCGCTGAGCCTCACACTCAGGTCTGAAAAGGAAATAGCTATTTATAGCCACTTACAAAATGGATTTAGATCCTGTCTGAACTCGCCATTCCCACATTGTATTGGACAAATAAAAAGCAGTGATGAATAAAAACTGGGGAGAAAGTCGTAGTGCAAAAAGGAACTTAAGCACACCTATCTATGTGTGATGATGTTCATTCGTCAAAGTAAATGCCACTTCTGTTACCCTGGGAGATCTGGTTCGTGATAGAATATTGTGAATTGATATTTGATCATTTATTGTGTGTGGGTGTGTGATCCACAGGGGCTATTCTTTTATGACTAGCAAAGCATGGGTGAGAAATTCCTGCAGATCTGGGGGTGGAGCTTGGTCAGGGACATCCATGAGGCAAAATGCTACCCTCCAAAGCAGCCATTTCCTCCCAGGAAACTGATCTCTATAGTGTGGAGATCACTTGTACTTCTGGGAGATTTTGAGGCCCCACCTGTAGGATGGCAACCCTATTTCCCTCTCAGCCTATTCAGCTTGCCATTTGAAGACCTGTTCGTTTCCTTCTCAGGAGGCAGCTTGCAAGACACCCTCTGTGACTGGAATTTAGTAGCTGATTGGGCCATTTGGTATTGTGTAGGAACATCCCTTTCTATACCCAAACAAAAATGGCCGAAGGGAAAAAAGACAAGAGGAAGGGAGGTGGAGTCTTTAAAAGCATGGCAGACCTTTCAACTGAGTCTGCCCTGACTCAGCAGTGCTGCAACAACAACAACAAAGCTCAGAGCAAAGGTAAAGGTAAAGGTTTCCCTTGCTCGAAAGCCAGTCAAGTCCGATTCTAGGGGGCAGTGCTCATCTTTGTTTCCAAGCCAAAGAGCCGGCGCTGTCCGAAGACATTTCCGTGGTCATGTGGCCAGCATGACTAGATGCCAAGGTGCATGGAATGCTGTTACCTTCCCACCGAAGTGGTACCTATTTATCTACTTGCAATTTCTAGCTTTCGAATTGCTAGGTTGGCAGGAGCTGGAACCAGAGATGGGAGCTCACTCCGTCATGCGGCACACTCGGGTCTCGAACTGCCAAGCTACCAACCTTCTGCAGCTAAGCATCTTAACCACTGAGCCACCACAGCCCTTCAGAGCAAAACAGGCCTTGAAAAACCTGGATTAAGACTTCATTAATTGTGAGTGAACAGTAATTTACCATAAGGGTGTATGAAACCTTTAAAAATATCCATTTGGCTTCAGAAGCCAAAGCAAATTAAAGAGCCCGTATAGTAATATGGATTCCTTTTCTTGTCATACCTTGAACTGCCCTCTCCTACCAATAACCAGGATGCTGAAATGGAGGATTTCTCCTACTGCTTTAGCTTAAAAAGTGCTAAACTGGGATAAAAAACACTTCTGCCATTACCTTTAGCAGTGAAGGAGCAGCTCCAGTACAAGTGTTTCGTTGCCACCCAGAATTCTGGAAATCTAGATAACATGGGAGGAATCCATGTTGTCACTCTGTACAATGCAGATGGCATAGAAGGTGACAGAGCATGAAATCATGTAACAAGAATGAGAAGCAAGCATACTGGATGGGGGACACACTTCCGGGTAGCAGTGTATGTGAACAAGATCTTGGGATATGGGTACACTGTAAGCTAAATATGATGCAGCGGCAAAAAAGGCAAATGCAACCTTGGGGTGTATCCACAGAGACTTAACATCCAAATCGCAAGATGTCATAGTCCCACTGTACACTGCACTGGTCGATAAGTACCTGGAGTACTGTGTGCAGTTCTGGAAGCCTCACTTCAAAAAGGATGTGGACAGAATGGAGTGGGTGCAGAGGATGATCAGGAGCTGGGCTGCCAACCTCCAGGTGATGGTTGGAGATCTCCCACTCTTACAATTGATCTCCAAATGACAGAGGTCAGTTCACTTGGATAAAATGGCTGCTTTGAAAGGTGGGGTTTATGGCAACATGTCTCATTGAAGTCCCTCCCCTCCCCAAATCTCACCCGCTTCGGAGGGGGGGGGAAGAGAGCAGCGAGGCCCGAGTGGCAAGCCGCGAGGCCCTCGCTTCGGAGCCGGGGGGGGAGAGGCAAGGGGGGGGTAGATCAAGTGGGGTGGATGG